ATGTTTGAATATTCCCCTGTAGAGGGACACGCCCGACTTCATCATAGTCCTAGGAGCGCTCGCGCCACATCTGAGCGGTCTCCTGGGGGTCTCGGTGGTGCCCCCGGGGGGGGGGGAAGCGCCCCCCCTCAGGAGACGCGTGCGGCCGAGTCGTGCGGCCACAAACGGGAGCAAGGGCCATCGTGGGGCCCAGGCCGTCATCGGATTCCGAAAGCCAGAGAGGGGGAGGGGGAACGGGAGGGAGGGGGGGGAAGGGGGGGAGGGAAGGGAGGGAGAGGCTCTGAGAGGGGGGGGGGAAGAAGGAAGGGAGGGCGCGGAGGAGAGCTGTGGTGATGGGGGAACGGGGAGGACACGGCGGAGGTGGGGAAGGGGAGCACGGAGGATGGGGGGGGAAGAGGACAGGAAGCAAAAGGAAAATCAGGAGCAGGGAAGAAGAGAGGGAGAAAGAAAGAGAGAAAGAGAGAGAGAGAGAGAGAGAAAAAAAAAAAAAAAAAAAAAAAAAAAAAAAAAAAAAAAAAAAAAAAAAAAAGGGGCCCAGGGACGCACAAATAAATAGACACAATGTCCAGGATTCCCCAGCTGTTCCTGGATGTTCGTCTTCCCCTGCACGTCCCGTGTCTCCCGTCTATTTCCCAGGAAGCGGCAACTATGTGTGTCTGTGTGCTGCTCCCCTCCCGACGAGAGGCGAGGGAGGCGGAGGAGGAGCCAGCAGAGATGGAGAAGCAGCAGCAGCAGCAGCAGCAGCAGCCGCGCGGGCGCGGAGAGTCGAGCACGCGCGGGCGCGCGTTTCGGCTCGCCCTGGCGCGGCGCGCGGGCCGCGTTCGCAGCCCGCCGTGCCGGCGCCGAGGCGCGGCCGCAGCGTGCATTGTCCGAGGAGGGCATGGACTGCAAGAGTTGGGCGCCCGAATTATCCGGGGTAACTCGGGTCCGGGGTAACTCGGGTTTGGATTCCCAGAGAAGGAACCCGAGTTAGCCCTGACCCGAGTTATCCCTGATGATTCGGGGCTCTGGACGCCCGAGTTATCCGGGGTAACTCGGGTCCGGGGTAACTCGGGTTTGGATTCCCGGAAAACGAACCCGAGTTATCCCTGACCCGAGTTACCCCTGATGATTCGGGGCTCTGAAAGAGTGGTGTGCCCCAGGAGCGGATCTTCTCGTCAAACCCACGAGCACCTACGCAGAAGTTCTGCAGATCTGCAAGCATGGGACGCATTTCTTCGCAGACTTGAGAAACGAAGGAATTCTGGGGCCAATCAATTCTGCTGTCGATCCCCTACTCGAATTGTCCTGGCTCCAAAAGGAGGGGCTCAGTGGGGGCCCCGGACACGGCAGGGCCACATTTTCACCGTTTCCAAAAAGTACCTCTTGAAAATGGGAGCGGTTAAAAACGGCAACCAGACACGGCAACAAAAACGGCTTCGAAATGAAAACTGGAACCAGAACCGGCGCAAAGGCGGCCGCGGAACTGGAAAGAAACGGCGCCTGGGACAGGCAGGAAAACTACAAAACGGAGTCGGTCACAAGGTCCCTGTCCGGTCCAGGGCCCACTCGGAGGGGGGGGGGGCGCTGGGCCACCGCGCCGGAGGCGTGCCACGCTGGGCGCCAGGGCGCACGCACCTCGAGGCACCCGGCCCCGAGCCAAGCGGGCCGCGGCAGCGGCCACGGTTGGTGGTGCGCGCAGGGGGGGGCGGGGCCGTCGTCGTCGTCGTTGTCGTCGTCGTCGTCGACGTCGTCGTCGTCGTCAGACTCGGGGCCGCAGGGGGGGTGTCAGCGAGACTTACGACTCGGGTTCTGGGGACTCGGGTTCGCCTGAGGAGGCAATGACGAGACCCAGTCTGAAATCTGACGCGAGCCCCCGCTGCAACATCCCACGCAGACTGGACCGTCAAATCCAGGACGGGCTCGTCAGAAAAGTCGGCAAGCCCAGGCTCTGACGAACTCGAGTCTTACGTTTTCCAAAGGGGAGGGGGGGGGGGGGGGGCGGGGTGTGACTTGGGGGTCGCTCCCTCGTGCCACCCTTGTGGGCGCCGCTACGGTCGAAATATGTAGCAAGGACGGGCGGTCAGGACGCAAGCGCCCTGGACGCCGACGCTGGCACTTTTTGGGCCGGCGGACGGCCAACACCCTGGAAGGGCTGGGCCAGTGAAGACCGCGAAGGATGGGCCGCAGAGGCAAGGACGCAAGGGCACCCCAAGGACCTCCGCGCGTCCTGTCTATGAATTTTGACTGTAAGGTGGAGGCCCATGCCGAGGAACGCCCCGTTTGCCTCCAGGGTGCCCTGGGCTTCTTGGGTCTCGTTTTCTTCTGCTATGGAGAGCGTGACGCGGCCACGCCGAGACTCCAGGGACGCCCTGGTTCCCCAGGGCCTTGGCTCCCTCTGGAAGGCTTCTCTTGCGGGCATGGGCCTCCCCTGCGCGAGGCGAGGAGCACCGAGGACCGGGGCGCCGAGGCGCCGGGCGCCTGCCCGGCCCCCGGCCCCTCCCCGGGGAAACCGCGGAGAAGGGGCGCGCCGCCTCGCCCGAGGCGGCCGCGGCGCAGGCCCGACCAGAACCGCCGAGGGCGCGGCGCCCGCACACCAGCAGCTGATGGGCCCATCTGCCACCACCGCTGCCACGGGTAGGAGGAGGGAGGAGGAGGAGAGGGAGGAGGAGGAGGGGGAGGAGGAGGAGGAGGAGGAGGAGGAGGAGGAGGAGGAGGAGGAGGAGGAGGAGGAGGAGCTCCCGATCCCCCCTTCTCCCCCGGCCCAGATCTGGCAGCGGTGGTGGCAGACCTGCCCATCGACAACCACCGCGCCCTGCCACAGGGCAGTCGGCCACCACGCCCGGGGCCCCCCCGGGCGGCGGCGCAGGCGCCCGCACGGCCCGAGGCGGCCACGCGCAGGAGCGGCTCTCCCGGGCGAGCGCGGCCTCCGGCGGAGGCCACGAGAGTGTACGCAGCAGGGGCCCGACCACAAGAAGCCTTCCACAAGGAACCCAGCCCTGAGACCCCAGGGCGTCCGAAGACTTGCACAAAAAAACCGGGATTGCACTTTAACGAAGGATTGCACAAAAAAACCCTCGTCCGAAGGGTTTTTTTGTGCAATCCTTCGTCCGAAGGGTTTTTTTGTGCAATCCTTTGTGCAATCCGGGTTTTTTTGTGCAATCCTTGGATTCTTGGTGTGGGAGCGTCACGCTCTCCTCCACAAAACCATCGAAACCCAGGAAACCCAGGGCGCCCTGGAGGCAAGCGGGATGTTTCTTGGCATGGGCCTCTGTACACTGGCGCCCGAGGCCACACAGAGCGTGGCCTCCGCTGCGCCACGAGAATATGCAGCCGGCCCGTATCAGAAGGATGCGTGATATGCATCCAAGGGCCTTATGGACACCCACTTCGAGGCTCCTCGAGCGGGGCGCGGCCAGCGAGAGTGGCCAAGGATGGGCCGAGGAGGCAAGCATGCAAGGGTACCAGGTTGTCCATCCTTACTATGCGGGTCGACTGTACACACAGACACTCTGCCACGAACTTTGCAAGGACGTACCTTCCAGGAGAGCGGCGGTGCAGGAAAGTCGCCCGCTCTCAGCGGTGACTTATGCACTGCCACCCTCCCCTGAGGCCAAGCAGCAGTCCATTGGCGGGTGTCCGTGGTGATTTACACACTGCCACCCTCCCCTGAGGCCAAGGAGCAGTGCATCGGAGGGTGTTCGTGCATATGCTTGTGTGGCGGATCTGGGGCGCAGCTTTGAGGGGCCGCGGGGGGAGGGGGGGGGGGGGGGGCAAATCCGAGCGCGTCAAGCACTGCGGTCGCATCGCATGCAGCCATCCAGGGATCCCAGTGTGCCCGCACCAAAGGTCGGTGCGGCGAAAGGCCGCTCTCGCGTGTAGCCTTAGGTCGGGCCTGTCCCCCTACAGGCAGATGTTCGACGAAAACCTAAAAACACTTTTTAAACAAATACTCCACAATGGTCGAAAATAATAGAAGAACCGTTCCCATTTCAATGTTTGACTATGTTTGAATACTCCTCTTGTAGAGGGACAGGCCCGACGTAAGTGTAGCCGACCGAGACCCGGGGGAAGCCCATGAGTGTGCGCCGCCCCAGGGCCCAGGATGGCCCCGAGCCAGGCACGGCGGTGGTGTGCAGACGCCCTCTGCGGAGGGCCTTCTCAGACGCCTTCCGAGAGACTCCCGATTCCTTCTACGCGGCACCACTGCTGAAACCAAAAGTCGGCGGCGAGCGAGGGGGGGAAGTGAGAAGGAGAAGGCCTTCTGAGAAGGTTCGGAAGTCCTGCGGCCTTCTGAGAAGTTCTCTAAGCTCTTCCTGAAGACACAAAAACTTCTCAGAAGGCGCGAGGGCTTCTGAGAAGTCCTTCCGCCTTCTGAGAAGGCCGTCTCCTTCTCACTCCCCCCCTCGCCCGCCTCCGAAAAAAGGTACCGATACCGCTGCTCCATGGAGCTCTCCCAGGGTGCGTTCTGGCGAGAGCTTCGAAGGGAATCCAGGAGGTGGCGACAAAGGGCCTCCCATGGGGCCCACAGATGCGACCACGGAGCAGGGGCAGCGGTATCGGTGTCCTTTCCCCCTCTGAACCATGGCTTCTCAGAAGGTCGCCCCTAGAGGCCTCCTAGACGGGTCGGAGTAGATGGGGTCGGAAGGTCGCGCCGCATCGCCGATACGTTCGCGATACATCGCCGATGCATCGGCGATGCATCGGCAACATCGGCGATGCATCGGCGACGCCAGCGTGGAGAGCATCGAGCTCCACATCGAGCTCCACATCGAGCCGCATCGCCGATGCATCGGCGATATGGCGCAATCCCCCGACCCCCCTGGCGGCGCCTCGGGCGCCGCCCCTGGCGCGCTCCGCGCGCCAAGGAGGGAGGTCCAGCGCCGATCCGAGAAGTCCGCGCGGACCTCCGAGTTGTCGTGTTAATGTGATTGCTCGTTCCCCTGCACTCGGACCCCATCTAGGAAGCCTAGAGCCCCTCCTTCCCACCAGCCTGCCTCGTGCGAGCCACCCACGCGGCCTCAGACGTCGAGCGGGCCCGAGCTCGCGCGCCCAGCGGCCAGGTGCCGCCGCAGGTGGTCTGGCTCCGGGGCCCGGTCCTCGAAGATCTGGTCGAACTGAGTCGGCCGCGGCGGCGGCTGCCGGGAGGCCAGAGCAGCGCACGAGCACTGAGCTGCAGACGCTCGAGGACTTCGACGGAGAAAGAGCAGCTCGGGCGGGACCCCAAAGGGGCCCTTTAGGGCCCCTTCTGGGCCCCTGCTGGCTCCACCAAAAGAGCCCTAAAGGGCCCCTGTAGGGCCCTTTAGAGCCGTGCAGTGCTGGTATGCGTCGAGGCCCATTTTGGAGGGTGAGGGGGCCGTCCGACCCGCTGTTCGTATGATTACAACAAATGCATGCTTGAACGATTTCCGAGCGAATGGAACACTATGGATCATCAATTTACTCATCATGCATGATCGTCGTCTTCGTCCTTCTTCACCTTCCTGGTTTTTTCTTCAGAAGTCTTTTGTAACGCATTTACAAAGGATTCCTTTTGTGGCGACCTTTCAAAAGGCCTTATGTTTGGAGGATCATCTGCACCTGCCTCCACAAGTGGAAACATGTTGTAGCAGCCTGTATAAAGGAATTCCTTTGGTGGCGGCCTTGCAAGAGGATTTTGAATATGAAATATCAATAAAGTTCTCTACGGTTAAAGCAACATGAAAAGCCACACAATCAAGTCCATATTGCAAATCCGTACAATCGAAATCAATATTAAAACCCCTCAATAAAATTAAATTTGTACATCCCCACAAACGAATTCAATTTCTTCTCAATTTACACATTGATTTTGATTGTAATGGATTTCCAGAGGCGGCGCCGTGGGGCCGCGGAAGATTAACCAGGAAAAAATGAAAAACTGGAAAAAACATGAAAAAAACTGCATCTCCACAGGAATAAGAAAAAACTAAGGAAAAACTGTGCCTGTCAGCGCTTTTATAGCGCAACCCATAAAAATACTAACAATCACAGGCTTCCTGCTGCTTTTTAAAATTTGATCTTGTTTTTCCCTGTGACAGCATCAGTTTTTTCATGTTGTCGTTGTTTTGATTGCGTTCCTGGTATGCTCTCGAGGCCCCACAGCGCCGCCTCTGGAAATCCATTACAATCAATCAACGTGCACATGTATTACACATTGACTTTATGTGTGGGCATTTAAAAACTGAATTTGATTGTGGGGAATTTCACCGTGATTTCTTGTTGCAACGCCTTTACACAAAGATTCCTTTTGTGGCGACCTTACAAAAGGATTTGCACGTGTGGAGGATCTGCAGTGGCCTCCACAATTAGAATCGTGTTGTAGCAGCCTGTACACAGGAATTCCTTTTGTGGCGGCCTTGCAAAAGAGTTTCAATTGCGGGGGATCAGTACAATTCCCCACACATGCAATCCTTTTGTGAGGTCGCTTTTGTAAAGGCGCTACAAAAAGAAATCACCGTGAAAATCCCTACAATCAAACTCAATGTGCAAATCCCCGCAACTGAAGACACGGATGCAAGGGTACCCTCGGGAAGGTTCAACCATCCCTTTATTATCGGTTTCGACTGCGCGGTGCGTAGCAGGTCGTCCGCGCACAGAGGGCGGCGTACAATGAGGTCGGGCATGTCCCTCGACAGGCGGATATTCAAAGAGGATCATAAAGAATAGTCAAACAGATGCTCAAGACTCGTCAAAAACAGCCGAAACATCGTCCCCGGATGATTTGCAGGACTACTTTTAAATATTCCACCTTATGGGTGACCCAAAAGAGGGTCCAGCTGAAAGGGGGTGGTGCAATCGAATTGGGGCAATGTTTTACGAATGTACTGCGCCGGAAAACTGCATTGCATTGTATTGCAAGTAATGCATTGCACGCGAAAATCCAGCAATACTTCTGCGCCCCGGAGTGTACTGCACGCCCCAAGTGTCTTGCAACCACACACAGCTCCATTGCGCCAAGTCCATTGCACCACCCCCTTGTCGCTGGACCCCTTTGGGGTCAACCCGACATCTGCAGAGGGACCTGCCCGACTTCGGCGCACCCCCCATTGAGCAGGGACCGACCGTCCCGGCATTCCTATAGTCCTACCACGAAATGTTCGTAGAACCCAAAAATGTTCTAAGAACAAAGACAACGTTCTGAGAACATCATTAACCCGATGCAATAAACCACGACAGTCTCAATCAGAAATACTCTAAGAGCATTCCGTGAAAACCACACAAGGTTCTTAGAACACTGCTCGGTAGGGCTATAGGCGAGCCAGGACGCTTCGCCACTGCTTGACCCCAGCGAGGCGCCAGAGGGGGCCACCGCTCCAGCCGGCGGGAAGCGCCGGTGCGCCCCGGGATGCGAGGGCCCCGTGGGCCCCGCGAACTGGGCGGGCCCGTCTGCGCCGGGGGGGCGCTCGACCTCCCAGGCCCGAGCTGGATCGGACCTTCTGCTGCTCCCCCATCGCACTGCTGAGGACCACGTCCCAGGAATATAGTGTCGGGCACCCAGCAGTGTCGAACGAGCAGAAGAGCCTCCCCGGGCCCGACGCGCAGAGTCCCTGCGGTTTCGGGGCTTCCTTGGCGCTCGAGATTCTTCCTGGTGATCTAGGCTGAAGCAGGTTGGAACATCAGAAAATCGAACCACGAAATCGGATCGGCTCGGAAACGGATCCGATCGCCGGCGAACCGTCCCGAGTCAAACATCGAACTGAGCTCGTCGCGCCCTGTTCCAGCAGGCCCCAGCCGATGCCAACGAGTCGAGCCGAATCGGATCGAATCAGAATCGCGGCCCCAGCCAGCGAATCGAATCGCATCGGATCGGGTCGTCGGCGGTCCTGCCTCCCACGAGGTCTCTCCGCCCGCTGCAGGCCCCGCTCCGCACCTCAGAGCCTCTCAACGCAGAAAACATCGATTTCCCTGTGCCCTTTGCAGTGAGCCGTGGATGCCCCGTTCTTCCGGGGCGTCCGCAGGATGGCCCGAAGAGAGCCCCGCAGAACGGCCCAGGGGGAGCCCCCACGACGCGCCCCGAAGCACTCAGGATCCAGCATTGGCACTACACACACCCTTGATGCCACGCCCCCTCCTACCTCCAGCAGCAGGGCGACGTCGGCGATGCATCGCCGCCGCTGGCGTGGCGCACATCGGGCTCCGCACATCGACCCGCATCGCCGATGCGCCAGCGATACGGCACGACCCTCCTGGGAGACCCGCATACAATGCACCACCCTAGTTCCCAGAGGTTTAACAAACAACAAAAGAAAGCGCTGCACAATCATTTTAATGCAAACGCAGCGACGGCCTTTCCAAAGTGATGGCCCTGGACAAACAGAGCTCGCGCTAACAAGCGAACTTCGACTTCGTAGATCCCCGGCCGCATGGTACGTCACAACCTCAGGGCCATTGCGATTCCCCAATACCGCTCCCTCCCCACTCCGGACTTTCAGGGCCGTTTTCAGCTGGCATAGGGACAAAGTGTCCAGTTACGCACAACGCACTGGTGTATATCCCAGCACTGGTGTATACCCCGCTCAGAAGAAGTAACAACGACAGGCCGAAATAATAAATGTCACGACAGGCGAAGTGTGAATATACACCAGGAGGGGAAGGGCAGGGTGCTCATACAACACAGGGACGGGCCAGCCCTGGATACACCAGATTGACGGGACAGGTCAATCGATACACCAGCCACGCCCAGAATAAACGCGCCAATGAACTCACATCCTTGGACACATCGTCCGCCGCTGAGCTCCAACAAGGGGAACGCGCTGGCAAGGGGCCCAAAGCCCTACAACATATACATAATGAACCGACACGCAGGCGCGCGATCGCGCTTCCGCAAACGAAAGTACCTGGTAGCATGTGTAACGGCCAGGAGGTAGGAAGCAACACGATACTAGTTCCCAGGATACTAGTTGGGAAGAAACCATGTAAAGGCCAGGAGGGAGATACCAGGAAGAAGTGTGCAGCACACCGACAAGGTAAGGGAGCTTAGCTTCTCAACCTTTTTTCGGGAAGGCAAACCGACGTGGTGCACTGCACGCGGGCCACCGACCTCCGACCCCCGCAGGCCTTCTCTGCTGGGCGTTGGAGCACCGTGCGGGGCCTGCTCATAGAACGAGAAGACAGTACCGTGGACGGATCAGCCCTCTCTCCGACCCTGCACTGCGCCGAGCGCGAACGGCCGAGTGTTGTCCATGGACGTATCCACCCCCCATGCGTGCATAGACGTCACGGCACCCAATGTTTCCATTGGCGCTTGTGGCTAGAACGTGAGAACGGAATTGGGCACTGGCCTCAGGTCGGGCATGTCCTCCTGCAGGCAGATCTTGGACGAAGAAGGAAACAGAGTCGAAATGTCTCCAAAAATACCCAAGAATAGTCGACAAGCCGTCCCCATATTATTTTCTGCCTACGTTTGAACGTTCCTCCTGTAGAGGGACACGCCCGACCTAAGACTGGTCCCTGAGATTCGTCGTCCAGCAGCTGGCAGCCTTGACCCTCCAAGTGGGGCGCTCTGCGCAGGAGACCCCAGAATCGAATCGATAAGTCGGATCGGCGATCGAAATGAATCGGATCGGCGGAAATCGGCAGCCGAGTCGGGAAAGTCGAATCGGCGGAAATCGGCAGGCTGGTACGCGTCCAATAAGGAATCGGAACCCAAATCTGAAAACCAAGTCGAATCGAATCGGGATCGGAAGCCATCGAGACCGAATCGAATCGATGCGGAGGAATCGACAGAAGCACTGTCTTCGGGGGGAACGCAAGGGGGGGGGATAGCAAAGGGTAGGGTAGAGAATCAGCTCTCGCAGCTGATTATCCCGGCGCCAGCAGGCGCCCATGCATCGAGGAATGGGCCCTGCGGCGGGGCCGAAACCAGCTGCATGCAGCAGACTTCGCGACCCATGACGATTAATAAATGACCGTGGGTCGTGTTCACGCGGCGGCGCCCGGGATGACGATTAGAAAAAACCGGCCGCGGGCTGGAAAACTATTTCTTAAATCGTTCTCCTCCAGTCAGAAACTTGTGCAGAAATACCAGAAAACTATGTTTTTAATCGTTCTCTCCCATTTTTTATTAATCGTCATCCCGCATTAATCCCCCCCTTTCCCTATCGGCCCGATGTCTGTGGCGGCCCGCTGCACCCGTGCGCCTCTCCGCCCTCCCGGTGGCTGCGGCGAGCCCCCGAGCCCGGCCACCGCGGCGGCCGCAAACGGGTTCGTCGGCGCGGCCCACCAGGCCGACGAGTCCCCCTCCGCCTCCGCCAGGGCGCGCTCGGCGCTGCGGAAGGCGGCCCGCAGATGGTCGGGGCCAGTTCTCGTACCCCTGGCGACAACTCAGCGGGCGAAGAACGGGGAAAGAGAAACTGCTCCGTCACCGGGGGCGCCGTCCCCAGGGCGGCTGGAGAGTTTATACCTTGACGTGCCACCGTAAGTAGGGCGGGCAACGAGCTCTATACACCGACGCTTTTTCCGACCCTGCGCTGAAATTCGCACAGGAACGCGGATCCTGGTGTATACGGGATCCTGGCGCATACACGTTTCGTTGCTTCCCTTGGAAAACGAAGGAGAAGTATACACCACACAACCCCGACGTCGTCCCCGACCCTCAAAAAGTCGTGGGTTTGAAAAAACAGCCCGCCACTGGTAATGTACATGTTCCAGTTTCCGAGTAAGGGTATAAACTTTCCAGCCGCCCTGGGACAGGCGCCCCCGACAGCGAAAAAGTCAATTTTATAGCGCTGCTCGCCCGTTCAATGACGCCCGTGGCTGGCCTCGCCCACCCCGCCCCGCTGGTCGCGTCACGATTCGCGCCGGCGCCGTGTTCTGAGAAAGAGCCGTTCCCACGGGCATGTCCGCACGGCACCGGCGCGGATCGTGACGTGACTTGACTACCTACCAGACCACCCCAGCCGAACCCGAAGACCCCGATTTCGGGTTGGGGGGGTACGGGCTTCATGTGTGCGTGTTTCCCATGTTTTTCGACCCCACCCCCCACTGGAAATGGAGGGCAAGTCGGGGCCCTCGGGTTGGGTTGGGGTGGTTTGGTGGGCGCTGAGACTGGCCCCCTGCCCCCGGAACACGCCCGTTGGCACCAGGAGATATGAGAACTGCCTCTCGGAAGAAGAACGAGCAGCACAGACATAAACTGTCGAAGGGCCGCGCGGATTTCTCGAACCCGCGCTGGAGACCCCCCTCCCTGGCGCGCGGAGTGCGCAGGGCGGCGCCGGAAGCGCCGCCGAGGGGGCCCCAGCGCAGATCCGCGAAATCCGCGCGGCCCTCCGATTTGGACGCCCGAAGTGGGCACGGAAAACAAAAACGACAGCGGCCGCTTTTGGGCATGCGGCCTTCTGCTGCAGATGGACAACGTCCGCGGCGACACCGCTGGCGAGTCCTGCCCATTGTGAACCGGGAATGCCATCGGTCTTCGCACCATTGCTTCCCCTAGCGAACGTTCTCTTAATCGGCGCTTCGACATTGGGCGGAAGGGGGGGAGGGGTGGGGATCTGGCTCCGGACCTCTGCTTAATGCGACTGTTTGCAGCAGTGCGCCCTATGTGGGCGACTCCACCTGCTCGAAACGGGCGCCAAAAAACAGCCAAGATCTGCTCCCATGGGGGGGTCAGGGGGCGCGATGCGAGGGCCCGCGCCGATCGGAAAAAACAAAGAGTAAGAAAACGACCACCAAGGCATCCCCTGAAAAGTTTATGCTTACGCCGCACGTGTCTTCTTCGAAGCTGGTGCGCGCGCTCGAGCTCCGCCTTCTCGCCGCCCGGCACGGCGCGCTCGTCGCAGCGGGCGGCGGGCCGCAGATGGCTGGCGGCGCGCACAGATCGGAGAAGCGCGAGGGGGGCGGCCCTTCTTTCGGGGAGACGTTGACCACCTACCAAACCACCCCAACCCAACCCGAAGACCCGAATTTGACCCGAATTTCGGGTTGGGGGGGTAACGGGTTCCACGTGTTTTTTCGATGTTCCCCGACCCCCCCCCACTGGAAATGGAGGGCAAATCGTGGCCTTCGGGTTGGGTTGGGGTGGTTTGGTGGGCGGTGAGACGTGGGACCGGGGTTCGGGGGACTCGGGTGGTTCTGCCTGACTACCTACCAGACCACCCCAACCCAACCCGAAGACCTGAATTTCGGGTTGGGGGGGGGGGGGGCATGGGTTCCATGCGTGTTTTCTCCCTGTTCCAGGTCAAGTTGAGGCCTTCGGGTTGGGTTGGGGTGGATTGGTGGGTGGTGAACTGACGGGGCCGTCAGGGAAATGACGAGACCCAGTCGTCACGCGAGCCCCCGCTGCAGACATCTCGGGAAAACTGAACCGTCAGTGTCCAGGACCCGTCCATCAGAAATACTTAGGCAGACCCAAGTTATGGCGAACTCGAGTCGTACGTTTCCCCGATGCGTAAAAGGCAGCGGGAGCGTCTCAGAAGGTACGGGGCCTGCTTAGAAGCCCGCCCGGCTTCGAAAAGGCCTTCTTGGGAGCCCCCAGGCCCTTCTGAGCGGGCCCGTGCACTCTAAGAAGCCCGCCGCAACGGGGGCTGCCTTCTTCTCGCCATAGCTCGGACGTCCATTCCCCGTGCATTTATCAGTTTCGTGCGCGTCGTTTTTTTTCGCAGGATGATCCTCCGGACGCTCCTCAATGATCCCAGCAAAAAAAAAACACCCGTCCGAGCGATGCCAAGTCTTAGAAGGCTTGGGGAGCTTCAGAGAAGGAACAGACCCTTCTTAGAAGCCCTCCTACGTGATGTATAAAACGATGTCTGAACGAACTCAAAATAATGTGTTTGGATGAATACCAAAAACCAAAGCCGCTGCTTATGAACCTGACAATATACATTCCTTTTCGAATATTCCTACAGCGGAACATCCCGGGTGACCCCGCCCACCCCCTACATAAATTCGGCCCTGGGCGTTCCGATCGGGAAGAAATTTGGATTTTCGGTTCCAGGCAAGACGGCCGCAGAAGCTCCCCAAACGGCACAAGACAGCCTCAAGAGGGCCCTGAGAGGCCCCAAGAAGGAGAACACAAACTTATAGGTCGAGCCTTATTCCCCAAAATGACCCCAAGAGCACCCCCGACGCCCCCGAGGCACCAACGAGGCCCAAGAGGCTCCCAAGGGGCCCCCGAGAAGCCCTCAAGAGGCCCCCAAGAAGGCCTCAAAGGCCCCCCATGATGTCCCCAAAAGCACTCCGAGAGGCCCCTGAGACGCATCCCACGAGCCCCATCACATGCATCCAAGAAGCCCCTGAGCCACCAGATAACTTCCAAGATCGTCGCAAACACTCGTTCCTTCTGCGGGGTCAGTGGACTGGCTAAAGCCACTTGAGCGACACCATGCGAACCCCTTGCGCGAGGTCTACAAGCCATTCCGAGCTTTCTGAGCCCTACGAACCCTATGAGCTTGGGCCCCAAAGTCCCTATAAGCCATACCAGCCCTGCGAGCCCTATAAGATCTACGAACCCTCCGTTGCCCAATGGGGCCTAAGAGCCAGATGATCCCGAAGAACGTTGCCAGCATCATCACCATCACCATCCTCAAGGCTTCTACGTGCGTGTGAGTTCCATGTTCCCAAGGATCATCATCAGTATCATCAACATCATCATCATCATCATCATCATCATCATCATCATCATCATCATCATCATCATCATCATCATCATCATCATCATCAACAATAACAGCAGCATCAGCATCATAAACAGCAGCATCAGTATCATGATCATCATCAGCAGCATCATCAGCATCATCAGCATCATCATCAACGTCATCATCATACTCATCACCATCATCATCATCGTCATCATCATCATCATCAGCAGCATGATCATCATCATCACTATCATCATCACCACCATCACCACCACCACCACCATCATCATCATCATCGGCAGCATCATCATCATCATCAGCAGCAGCATCATAATCAGCAGCAGCAGCATCATCATCATCATCATCAGCATCATCATGATCAGCAGCAGCATCAGCATCGTCATCATCAGCAGCATCATCACCGCCACCACCACCACCACCGCAACCACCACCATTATCATCATACAGCCAAAGCGCATCGCAGTACTGGCGTGTACCGGTCGCGGCGAGCCTCTCTGGCGCCACGCGATCAAGATTTGCCGATACTGGCGGTGCGCAGAGGGGGTAGGGGGAGGGGGGAAGACTTCTAGGAGAAGGCTGTTTCTTAGAAGGCGCGGGCCTCACATCTGCAGACAAGGCCTGCGCCTTCTAAGAAGCAGCCTCCTTCTGAGAAGCCTCGCCCCCTCCCCCCGTACCTTGAGGGCAACGAGAAGGGGGACTGGAAGGGGGCACCCTCCCCTGTGCCCATCCCCCCTATCGCTGCCCCTGATGCCCCCCTCTGCGCGTGGCCGAGAAGCAAAGCGAGCCGATGCTCTCTCTCAAAGGGGCCCAGTTACACACAAATGAATAGACACGAATCCCAGGATTCACCATATGTTCCCATATGTTATCGGTCTTCGTCTTCCCCCCCACTCCCCGTGCTTTCTTACATTTTCCAGGGAATCGATAACTCATTGTGTCTATGTGCTTCTTCCCCTCGTCGTCGTGTTTGTTTCCATACGGGGCCCTCGGAAGTCTCGACCCATTCCCCTGGACCAGTTGTCCATCCTGAGTCGTTTTTCGAGGGTCCTGGGGCCCGGCGAGGTCCCCCAACCTCCGTCTTGATTCTTTCGATGCGTTGGATTACTAGGCACTGCTACTCCCCAGACCTCTCCTGGGAAGCGTTCTGACCAGGATTTCGAGGCGAATCTAGCGGTGGCGACGAGTGCCGCACAGGAGGCCCAAAAAGGTGGTGGGGGGGAGGGAATCAACAAACCCAAAAGAAAAAAATCCTGGCGAAGGACCCAACCAAGTGCAATTGTGAATAACGCTTTGTGGGTGCCGCTTTCGGTGGGGCTCCATATGCGGCCACGAAAGGCGTGCCACGAAACGCTGTCCTGGGCGTACGGGACGCATGCGGGCGGTAGCACTGGGGCCTTCGGTGGAGCTCCCTATGGGGCCACGAAACGCTGTCCTGGGCCCTCGGCGACGAAACGTGTGAGGGGTGTGCCGAAATGGGTGCGGTGCCGCCATGCCAACGCAGCCACTGGGGCCCTCGGTGGAGCTCCCTACGGGGCCACGAAACGTGTGAGGGGTGTGCCGAAATGGGTGCGGTGCCGCCATGCCAACGCAGCCACTGGGGCCCTCGGTGGAGCTCCCTATGGGGCCACGAAACGTGTGAGGGGTGTGCCGAAATGGGTGCGGTGCCGCCATGCCAACGCAGCCACTGGGGCCCTCGGTGGAGCTCCCTATGGGGCCACGAACGTGTGAGGGGTGTGCCGAAATGGGCGCGGTGCCGCCATGCCAACGCAGCCACTGGGGCCCTCGGTGGAGCTCCCTATGGGGCCACGAAACGTGTGAGGGGTGTGCCGAAATGGGTGCGGTGCCGCCATGCCAACGCAGCCACTGGGGCCCTCGGTGGAGCTCCCTATGGGGCCACGAAACGTGTGAGGGGTGTGCCGAAATGGGTGCGGTGCCGCCATGCCAACGCAGCCACTGGGGCCCTCGGTGGAGCTCCCTATGGGGCCACGAAACGTGTGAGGGGTGTGCCGAAATGGTGCGGTGCCGCCATGCCAACGCAGCCACTGGGGCCTCGGTGGAGCTCCCTATGGGGCCACGAAACGTGTGAGGGGTGTGCCGAAATGGGTGCGGTGCCGCCATGCCAACGCAGCCACTGGGGCCCTCGGTGGAGCTCCCTATGGGGCCACGAAACGTGTGAGGGGTGTGCCGAAATGGGTGCGGTGCCGCCATGCCAACGCAGCCACTGGGGCCCTCGGTGGAGCTCCCTATGGGGCCACGAAACGTGTGAGGGGTTTGCTGTGATGGTGGGAGGAGGGAGGGGGCAGAGGGAGGATGGAAGGAAAGAGTGAACGCGGGGCGCTGTCTCTTCAAAACGAGGACCCAACACCACAGGATGGTTGGGAAAAAAGGGTGGAGGGTGGCGGTATCGGTACCCTGTCCTCCTCTGAAAAATGACCTTTATCTGTGGCCGTGTTTTTTAGACGAGCGCGGTCCGCTACTCGCAAAGTAACTACTCGCAAATGGCCTGGATCCGCCGCGGGGGATCTACGATGAATCTCATCGGAGCGAAAATCTCTGTTCTTTGCACGTGTGCGAGTAGTGGAACGCGCCTGGTGATTTTTGCTTCCCTCCCCGAGTATTGTGCGCGCCGCCGGATCGTCCTCCGCCACGGCCAGCTCGGCGCGGCGCACGGCGGCCCGCAGCCGCCGCGCGCGCTCCCCGCTGGGCTCGCCGCGCAGCTGCTCCAGCTCCGCCTCCGCGCGGCGCAGCGCGAGCAGGTCCCGCCGCTGCCGCCGCCTCTCGGCGGCCACCTCTCGGCGGCGAGCGACGGGGGGGAGGGAGCAGCAGAAGAGGAAGAAAAAGCCATGCAAACATCAACTTTTGGCGCTCCGCGCGGACTGCTTGGCTCTGCGCCTGGGCCCCCCCGGCGGCGCCTCCGGCGCCGCCACTTGGTGCGCGGAGCGTGCCAGGGAGTGGGGCCCAGCGCGAATCCAAGAAATCCGCGCGGAGCGCCAAAAGTGTATGTCTATGTGGTTTGTTCTTCTTCTAGGGAGGTGAGAAGGGGCGGGTCTTCTCAGAAGGCTCTGAATTTGCTGGGGCCTTCTGAGAAGTTTTCGACGCCTTCCCCGAGAACACAAAGAAACACTTCTCACAAGGTGTGAGGGGGCTGAGAAGTGTCCCTTCCTTCTGAGAGGGCCTTCTCCTTCTCACTTACCCCCCTCGCTCGCCGCCGAACCTCTGCATGGGATCCAGGGGGACACTAATATCCGCTTCCCGCATGTTCCCATATCTTCCTGGGAGTCGACGATGATCTGCGCCTGTGTGCCTTATATTCCCTCCTGGACCTCCAGCAGCGCTTCCCTGCGCCGCGCAGAATCCCCCCCTATGCTTGCACACTTCTCCTGGAACTTCGTCCTCCCCGTCCACTTCCAACACCTTCCTGAGCATCGACGACTCCCTGCGACGTTGTGCCTGCTCCCCCTCCCGAACCTCCAGCAGCGCCTCCCTGCGGCGCGCCTCCAGCGGCTGGGCGATGGCCTCGGGGCTCTCTTGCGATGTCTGCCCGAGAGGGAGTGCCAGAGAGAGGAGTGCCGGCGCGCGTGGCGCACAAGGGGTCCTGCGCAGGGGGTCCGCATCCATCGTGCCTGCTCTGCGCCTCCTCAAAGGCCAACCTAACGGCGATGCTGCTCAACGGTGATTCTGAGAACCCAAGTGTAGGAAGCCACGGACCGCACTTTCCCACATCTCCTCGATGCGAACGTATCGAACGAGAACGACACAGAACATTGTAGGAAAGCGCGGGCCACGCGTTCCCACAATACCGAAACCTGCATCGCCATTACCTACATCGCCGTTAGCGTGTCGACGGCTCTTCCCCCTTTTCCTGCATGCGCACGCTCGCGCGGATCCAATCCCAAGGACATTCACAAGACCCCCGCACAAGGCGCACAGTGTTCCCCGCAGAAGGCCTACAAGACTCGCGCGCGTACTTTTTCTACTCAGAGTAATTAGCTGGGCCAGCAATTCAGAGGAGAAACAGCAGGTGGCGACATCCGAACTCTGCACCCACCAACCATCGATTCCCCTGAATCGATGGGGGGCGGGGGTGGGGTTCGAATTTCGCCGCGTGTTCAACACATCCCGACCCCACCCCCCGCCGCCCATCGAGCTGCCTGAATCGTTCATCGGCGAGGGTAAGGGTTCGGATGTCGCCGCCGAAACCCAGAGGACAACCGCCACCGAAAACCCAGCGAAGGGGCCCACCCCTGGGCGGTGGCACGCCCGAGCGTCGTCCTGTACTGGGAGACGCTCGGGCGTGCCCCCGATGGGCTCTCGGTGGCGAGGGTCCCCACGTCTCCCTCTGAACCACGGCCCGCTCACTGTTCCAGCGCTTGCGGAGAGCCACCTGCTCTGTAGCGGGGCTGCAGTTGGGGTAGGCAGAGGGGTGCGCTGTGGCTGCTCGGCCTCGCCGCGAAGCCGCGGATAGGCTGGTGCGTCCGCGGCCATCCGCGCAGCCTCAGCACCGCAGCAATGAAAGAGGGGCCCAGGAACACGCAAATAAATAGACACGACTCCCAGGATTCCCCCTCACTTTCCCGCATTCTCTGGGTTTTCGTCTTACCCCCCCCCCACTTCCCCTATTCTCCTACATCTTCCTGGGAGTCGACGATACATGGCGTCTGTGTGTTTTTTCCCTCCCGAGCAGCTGCTGGCTCGAGCTCCGAGCCGAGCAGGTCCCGAAACCGGTCCCGTGCACGCAGCCGCGCGGGGGCACGGGCGGGTAAAACAAGCTGGGCCCCCCCTGCACCGTTTCCCCGGGGGGGAACGCAAGGCTCGAGCTTGGGGAACTCGGGCTGGCTGGGAAGGGCTCATACGCCATATATATATATATATATATATTATGTGTGTACGCTCCGGGCTGGACCTAAGCGGTGTTTGTCGTTTTCGTTGTGTTGTTCGCCATTCCTCGTTTTGCCTTCGCTTCGCCTCGAATGCAAAACAAGACTGAAAGCAAAGCGGCCCACGAGGTGGCCAAAACACCGCTCAGGTCCAGCCCTGCACCACGTCAGCAGGTGGGCCAGGGAGCTTGGTGTATAGACGCCCCAGCTGCCCGACCTGCGGGAGGCTGGAGCGTCTGGACACCGATTGCCTTCGCCGAACTCCCTGCCCCCCTGGCCGACCAGACGATGTGGTGTATGCATCGAGCCCCTCCGATTGGCCTGGCGGGGCTGTCGAAAAAATGGCAGGGCCTTGTCCGAACATCGACGCTGAAACTCTCGATGCAGACATCTCACGGAACCTGGACCGTCAACGTGCGCGCTGGGACCGCCGAACCGCTTCGAAAGAGCCCCATGTTTCCCCGATGAGAGGGCCTCGGAGGCGGACACCTGGGCCTGGACGGAGGAGTTCAGCCGGTTGATCTCCAGGAGCTCCTGCTCGGACAGCGCCTGCAGCTCCTCCAGAAACTGCAGCTCGTCCAGGCAGAGCGACCGCTCCCCAGTCACGCCCGCCTTCTCGAGGCTCGTGGTCCGCCTCCTCCGCAGGAGCTCGGCCTGGTACCTGGCGCGCTGGAGCTGGCTCTCGCACGCCTGCTTCTGCTCCGACGCGAGCTGGTGCTCCGCGGTGGCGAACAGGACCTCCTCGTGCAGCTGGCTGCACTGCTGCCGCAAGACCCGGAGCTCGTCGTCCATCTTGGTTCGGCGGCGAGCGAGGGGAGGAAATGAGAAGGGGCGGGCCTTCTCAGACGGCGGCGGGACTTCTCAGAAGCCCTCGCGCCTTCTGAGGAGCGTTTGGCGGCTTCGGGGGAGGCTCAGACAACTCCTCAGAAGGCCGGGGGACTTCCGAGCCTTCTGCGAAAGCCCTCTCCTTCTCCCTCCCCCCCTGGGCTCACCGCCGATTCGTGACTTCGTCCTGGATCCGGCGCGAAAAGTCGCAGTCCGCCGCCATCACGGCGCCCAGGTAGGCGACCCCTCCGCCCAGGATGTCGGCGCCGCGTGCGCTGGGGCTGCCGTCGCCCTCTCCGGGAGCACCCGCCGGCGGCCGCAGTCCCGCGAGGTCGGCCTGCGCAGCAGAGGCGTCGAGGCCGCCGTCGAAGCTCGGGTCCTCGCGGTGCGCACGCCTGCTCTTCTTCTTCTTTTTCTTCTTGGCGTCCGGGTCCCCGTCCACGAGCAGCTCGCCTCCAAAGCCTCCGAAGGCTCCGCCGCCGAGGCCGCTGCCGTCCGCGCCGCAGAGGTCGTCCGCAAAAGGGTTCTCGGGGTCGCCGAGCATCCCGAGCCCGGCTGCCAGGCACGAGCTCGGGTAACGGCTCCGGCTCTGCCGAAGAGACGGCAGCGGCGGCCTTGAGCAAAGAAAGCTACATAAGCACATCTGCGCATGTGCCTGTGAATGAACATGTACTACGCGCGTTGCGTGGAGGAGAGCATGCACGTGTACAGCCGGCCCGTATCAGAAGGATGCGCGATGAGGATGCAAGGTCCTTGGAAGGCCATGTCGAAGCTTTTCGAGCGCGGTGCGGCCGACGAAAGCGGCGAAGGACGGACCGAGGAGGTGAGGATGCAAGGGTGCCCTTCGGATTGGTTGCCCTCCTTGCTGTGGGTTGACCGCACGTGCGCGTGTGCGCGTGCGCGTGCGCGTGCGCGCGTGCGCGTGCGCCAAGGCACAGCCCCCGCGCACGCACAGCCCCGCCGGTCGCCCCACGCGCGGCCCACTCGGGCGCGCGCGGCCGCCGGCACCCTGCCCTTCCAGGGACAAGATCCGCGGCGGCCGGGCCTCGGGCCAGGGGTGCAAAGCTGACACGCGCGCGCTCGCGCCACCCTCGACCCGCTGGGGCCGCGTGCGGAGCTCCCCGTGGGGCACGATCGCCACGAGAGTGAAGGGGCCCCAGGACACACAAATAGATACACACAAATAGAAGCATTCCCTATATTTTCCCATATTTTCTGGATTTCTGTCTTCCCCCCCACTTCCCGTAGTTTCCCATATTTTCTGAGGAATCGAGGATTAATTGTGTCTGTGTTTTTTCCTCTCCTGAGATAGGTGCCCCGACGTACAGTCAGCCCGTAGCAGAAGGATGCACGGCAAGGATGCAAAGCCTTGGAGGCCCATGTTGACGTTTTGTCTAGCGAGGTTGGCCAGCGAACGTCGCTGAGGATGGGCCGAAGGGGCAAGGATGCAAGGGTAGCCTTGGACCTTGGGAAGCTTCCCCGTCCTTACCATGCGGGTCGACTGTAGGCGACGAAGTACGCACAAGTTCCCCAACCGAGGCCGCAGGTGGAGCCCCTTTTATGGGGCACGATCCGCACGAGGGGTGCGCGTGCGAGGTCTCTCGCTGGGGCCACAGGCGGAGCTACCCACGGGACACGATCCGCGCGAGGGGTGCCGAAGAGGGCGCGGGGCCAGCAGGAACAGCGACGGCCGGCAGCGACGAGGCAGCAGAAACATGCGGCGGCATGCGGCATGCGGCGCAGCAGCAGGGAGGAGGGCGGAGGGAGGAGGGGATGGAGGAGGCAGGGCGCAGCAGGCAGCGCATCAGAAGCAGCAGGGAGCGGGCGGAGGGAGGGGGAGGCATGACAGCATCGGCGGAAGACGCCCGGCGCTGCGAGCCGAGAGCAAGGGCCCGGTGGCGCAGGAAGGCAGGGGAAGAAGACATGAGGTGCCGACAAGTCACAGTTGCTCGTCCCACCCGAAGCTCCTCGAAGATGGGGGATCCACAGGACTTTTGATGCTGGCCCCCGAGACGCGATCCATGTGAGGGGCGTGCGAGAGAGCTGGCCCGTGGACGCCGGCCTGAGGCCCGGGCGTCCGCCGCCGGCCGATGGTTCGGAGAGATGCCACGAGCCCTCTGGGCGTGGGTTTAGATCGGGCATGTCCCCCTACAAGCGGATTCGGGGAGGACAAAGTAACAAACACGTGCTGAAAACTGATTCAGAGGGGCACAGAAACTCGTCCCCCGACGATTTGTTGGCCGGTCTTGGATATTCCTCGTGTAGAGGGACATGCCCGATTTCAGCGTAGGCGGTTGAAGGTCTTCTCTCGTCTTCTTCCACCTTCCCCTCTTCCCCTTCGGGGACTGGTGTACCCCTCCCCCTACCCCTACCCCCTCCCCCTGACCTGGACGGGGCGCCCCGCGACCGATTGGAGCGTCCAAGATCGCCCAAGATGGCTCCAAGGGGACCTCAGATTCCAAGATGGCCTCCAAGAAGGCTCAAGGTAGCTCAAGATAGCCTCCAACGTGAGCCAAGAGGCTCCAAGACCGCCCCAAGACGGCTCCAAGTGACCACGGAACACCCCCAAGAGAGCACCCGATTGGCGAAAATCCTCCCACAACCGTAAAGGAGATCCATGTGTTGTGCTGTCTCGCGTTTTCGCTTCTGACGGCGTTCCGAGGCGTCAAGATGGATCCAAGATGGGCGAAGCGGGCCCCAAGAGAGGCCCAAGAGCCCCAAGAGGGCCCCAAGACGGCCCCAAGAGCGACCAAGAGCGCCCCAAGAGCGCCTCAAGAGGGCTCCAAGAGGCGACTTTAGGGAGCTCCATAGTGGCGCCGCTAACCAAAGCTCCCACTTCCATGAGCGACCTCCTCCAAGATGGCCTCAGGAGGGCATCCAGGGCTCACAAGAGAGCCCCAAGAGAGCCCCACGAGACCCCCAGGAGGCCAACAAGGAGGCCCCTAAGCGGCCCCCAAGACCCCACAAGAGGCCTCCCAGGAGGCTCTCAAGAGACATCCCAAGACGGCACCAAAAGGGGCCCAAGAGAGGGAACACGAACCAAAAATCCGAGCCTTCCGCCCAGAGAGGCCTCCAGGAGGCCCGAGGAGGCACCCAGGAGGCCGCCCCAAGAGGCCCCTAAGAGGCCCCAAGAGGCACCCAAGAGGCCCAAAACAGGCCCCCAAAGGCCCCAAAACGGCCCCCAAGAGGATTCAAAACTG